CGCACTTAGGGATTATAACCCTCAGGCAGTAGAATTCTCCTTTCTGTTTTGCGAAGAAAAGGAGCTGAACACCTTTTGCAGAGAACACCTTTGTATATTTTTAATGCTTACTGGGTTATATCCTATCTTCTTTTGTCTCTCATTCTTTTGCATATTTTGGAGTTTGACAGCTGAACTCCGCCATTTAATTTGCATATGCAACCAAAGTCAGACGCGTGATTTTGAAGGTGTTTTTATTTAATGAATTGTGATGAATTGGTTAATATTAAAGTCGTAAAGCAAGTTATAACAAATCAAGTAAAGTGTAAAGTGAAGGGGAACACAAAAATATATTGGTAAAGTGGCTAATTTAAGCAGAATAGGAGTGATAAATGTACCCTAATTTCCGAATTTTACAAAAAAGGGCATATTTCAAACCCAATTTGTAAATAAATTAGTAACCAACATTTACAAAAGTGAGTGTTAAAAATTTTTTTTTGGATCGGGCCACCCATTTGGACGGAATAGCCCGAAATAGTTGTGAGCGGTACTAAACCCCACCCCATAGTACAAGCACGGACATAGTGAGCAGCTGATTGTGAACCATTGAACCTGTTGATACACCCAAGGGGTGAGGGGTGATAATGCGAGGTATTTTTTTCTTCTGGAATGGGGAGCATTCCATTGATACGCCACAAATTTTTGTGTGATCTTTAATTGTTCAATACGTTGCACATAGCTTTATGTTGCAGACGGACTGCCAAAACAGGTTCAAAATGAAATATGTACATGGGTATTTATGCACATATATACATATGTATATGTATAGTTGCACTAGCTGCTAACACTAACCCACATGGTAGGGGCTCGAAATATTTTCTATGTACTTGTTTACTCAATGATGGTAATAGTTATCTCTCACACCCCACTTCATCCCGAAAGCGTCAAACTGAAAGATATGTACCTACATTAATAGTTTTCTCTTTTGTTATTACAACCATGAGTAACTTCATTTGTTGCATGTTAAACATATTGTACTTTCATACATATTTGCTAGTATTAATTTGTTTTTACTAGTTTATTGATATGATCTTGCAATAGTTAGCGATAAGTTTATTATATTAATATTGCAAAGATGCACAAACTTCGTAAAGCTGATTGTTCTATCACTGCTGGAAAGATCGAAATTCGGGTTACGGTAGGATTGCAAAGCAACTCAATACTTATAACTACATGATATGGGAAGAGGAGTGGGCAATCTCGAAGTCTTGCGAAGCCCTTTAACCGTGCATGGATTGCTTTGCAGAATACCCCTGTTCCCATAGGGATATTCTCGCAGTCTTGCAAAAGCCTTGCACGGTTTGCAAAGCTGTCCTAATCAACGGTTTTTACTGCGCACCTTGCAAGGATTTTTGCCAGACTCGTAAAATACTCCTTATATAGTTTAGAAGTAAAAGTTATCATTTGGAATCGCTTAAGAACACGCGGATATAGGAAAAAATCAGAATGAAGAAAATTGAGTCTAGTGTATTCACGTCTAAGAAAAACAGTTATTTGTAAATGGCAGAGTTATATGTATATTAGATCGAGGTACAGAGTCAATTAGAAGTGAAGGAGTCTGTTGCTATTGTAACTTCCCAAAAATTTTCGGTGAATGCTTCCAAGTGACATAGAATAGCGACTAGGACTGGTACTATGGACATTTAACGGCCAACGAAAGCGATGTCTTAGCCAAAACACGTTGTCGCTTAGGCATTGTAGAAAAAGTAAAAAACAAATTTATTTATTTATTTATTTATTTACTGAAGTCAATGAACAGAATAT